GCCAATCAATATATAATTTTAAATCCACCATGATAATGCCGCACTATTTCTGCATGCATCAATTATTTCTTTGTTAATTGCCCGTCCCACCATGATGTTATTATTTGGTGACCTATAGACTATGCCTATCAGTGACTTTTCCCCTAACTATTTCTAATATCCACCCACATTGATTCAACCATTTTCTCCATAGAACCTTTATCATCTCTCACTACTGTCCTGATATCATTCTTAAATATCAGAGCTGCACCACCTCCCTGTCTGTCCTTCCGAATAGTCTGATACCCTTGGATCTTTAACCCTCAGTTGGAACCACCCTGCAACCTTACATCATACTCATTTGCGATGGAATTTGTGCCATCAACTCATTTATTCTGAATGCTAATTTTTACATCATCTTTTCAATCTTAATAACCCCAACAAAAGAACATGCTCACTTTTTCTGTCACTACCTGGTTTCCACTCATCTTAGTACTACACTGCCCAGCTGCTTCTCGCTTTTTATTTATGGTCTTGATTTTCTTTTTCCTTAAGCCCTAGCTACCTCAGATCCTGATGGGCCCCCACCCCCCTGTCAAACTAGTTTAGTCTATTCAACAATACCTGCAAAACCACCTGCAAGAATATTTGTCTCACCACTGTTTGGGTGAAGACCATCCCTCCTTAACAAGTCCCACCTTCCCCAGAAACAATCCCAGTTATTCAAAAATCTAAAGCCCCTCCCTCCTACACCACTTCCCCAGTCACATGTTAAACTGCCTAACCTGCCAATTCCTAGTCTCACTAATATGTGGCACAGGTAGTAAATCTGGAGATTACTACCTTTGAGGTCCTGACTTTCAATCTGGCTCCTAACTCCCTAAATTTAGCCTTCAGGACCTCATCCTTTGTCCCACATATGTCATTGGTACTAACGTGTACCACGACCACTGGTTGGTTCCCTCCCTCCCCTCCAAATGCCCTGCAGCCACTCAGCAACCTGCAGGACCCTTGCACCAGGGAGGCACCACACCATCCTGTTATCACTAACGCAGCTGCAGAAGCACCTTTGTCTGTTCCCTAACATTCGAGTCTCCGCACTCTACAGTCCAAACAGTCTTTTTCTCTCCACTCAGTGCAGCTGAGCAACCCGCAATGCTGTGGGTTTTGCTCTGGCTGCAATTGCAAGGCATTATCACCAATCGCCAAAATTCAGCACAAAGTACTGGTTGGTTATTGGGATGGCCTTAAGAGACTCCTGCACAACTTGCCTTACCTAATGCTTGTGTGTGATGGTAACCCATTCCCAATCCTCCTGCACCCTTTTAGAGTGTATGGTGACTATTGCCTTGTACGCGCTATCCATATAGCTCTCTTAGAATCCCTGCAGTATGGAAACAGGCCTTTCAGCCCAACAAGTCCAGACCAACCCTCAGAGCATCCCACCCAGACCCATCCCCCTATAATCCATCTAACCTACACATCCCTAAACATTATGGGCAATTTAGCATGGCCAATCCACCTAACCTGCACATCTTTGGACAGTGGGAGGACCGGAGCACCCGAGGAAACCCACGCAAACACGGGGTGAATGTGCAAACACCACACAGTCACCAGAGGCTGGAATCGAACCCGGGCCCCTGGCGCTGTGAGGCAGCAGTGCTAACCACTGAGCCACCGTGCCAACCCTGTTCTCCAATTCTCATTCTGCCAGATACTCCACGGTGCCTCCAGACTTCACTCAAGCTCCATAGTCCGGCACTTGAGTTGGCGGTACTGACGACACTTCCTGCACACACATTGCTCATCAATGCAATCAGCATCCAGGAACTCCCACAAATTACAAGTGGAGCACACTGCTTGAAGGAGCCGGTCTGCCATCCCTTAACCAAACCAAAAATTACTCATTAAACAAAACTAAATCTAATTCTCACTAACTGACATTATCAGTTAACTAATAAGTATAGTAATTTCAACAAGTCATTTAACTGGGAGTAAAAAGTTAGCATTATATTCACCCCTCAAACAGCCAATCACTTACCAGCTTAGCTGCGACATCACTCTGGGATCTTGTGCTCCCTCTCACCAGAAGTTATTTAGCCCCTTACCAGTTCCAGAATCTCCACCCTCAGACTGCTGTTGGCTCTGAGCTAAGTCCCTACGAGACTTCTCTCTTCTCTAGGTTCACTAGGCTGATACCACGTATGGACGGTCTGTCTAATGGGTTGAAGTTGAGTAGAATGGGACCAAACTCATTGGAATTTAGCAGAATGGGAGAGAACCGATTGAAACATGCAACATTTATAGGGACTTGATAGTGTAGATAGGGAGAGGTTGTTTCCCGTTTTGGGAGAGATAAGGACCAGAGATCTCAGAATAAGGGGTCACCCGTTTAAGACAAAGATGAGGAGCAATTTTTTTTCACAGGGTAGTAAATCTGTGGAAATCTTTACTGCAGAGAGCTGTTAAGGAATACTTAAGCATATACAAGGCTGAGGTAGACAGATTTTTAATCAGCAAGGAAATTAATGATTAAGGGGGAAAAGGCAGGAAAGTGGAGTTGAGGATTATCAGATCAGCCATGTTATTATTGAAAGACAAAACAGAATTGATGGGCTGAATAACCTACTTCTGCTTCTATGTCTTAGATGTACCCCTTTGAAGGCCCTTGGATTCACACTTTTGCCAATGACTCATGCATATTTGTAGTATGGCAACAACCTAGAACAGTCATGCTGTCCTTTGTCTCCTTCACTGTAGATGACGTCTCTTCAAGCTCTGTTGCTGAAGTTTTGTGAGGCATGCAAGACCAATAAATAGCAGTTTCATCAGTGAATACCTGTAGGGATAACTTCTCTCTCCACGTGTAAATTCTTCCATAAGTTTGGCAGCTTCTTCAGCATCTCCATTTTTTTTTTGCCACTGCACACACAATGCAGACCAATGCCATGCCTGTTTTTAAATTTCTGCAGCCATCTTTGCAAATAGTCACACTCATGCTGCAAGTTAAATTCTTCCTGGAAAATTTTTGCTTGGGCAATTAACATCTCACCAGCAATGCTCATTCCAATAAATCCTGAACCAATGCATGAGTGCACTATCGATATTCTTTCCTCCTTGAACAGCCTGCTGTAACACACGCTTCTACAAACAGTTAAAAAAACTCAAGATTCTTCTCCTTTTGCTCAAGTCATACACTTTTAACAACACATATTATGCCTCACACAAGTCCTGTACAGATGGGCCCATGTCTAATTATTTTCATATTTTGACTTATTGCAGTATTTTCCCAAATAAACAGGTCAAAAAATTCATCAAAAAGACATAACCTTAAGTAAATGATTTTCATTTTGTATGTTTAGTAACTGTTTTCTAAGTGAAATGAGAAGTGCCTGTTAAAGCAGCAATCGTTTCTTATTACTCTATCAGGTGAATTTAGATTTATTGTAATTTTCAACTGCCATGTTTAAAATGCTGTCAAATGGTCTTTCAAATACTGACCGATTAGTAATCCTGTAAATTTCAGTTCTTGCAGGGTAATGTTGCCAGATTGACAATCATGGCTATCTATAAACCTTGCATTTGCATACTTGGATGTCAATATACCGGATCTGAATGACAGATTTGGTGATGAGAATATTACAAACAAATGCAAGCAAGCTGTTCATCTGGAAGTTACAACATTGACAGGAGTGCCAAAAGAGGGGAACACTAATATTAGCGCAGATATTGTAGTTGAAGAGGGAGGGGCAAAAGTGCATCTGTTTTCTTACCCCTCCTCAAAAGCAACAGGTCTTCAATCTTCTCCCAAGGAAAAGCAGAGTGTTTTGTTTTGGAGGCAGAAGAAGTTGTTTAATATCAGCGAGAGTTATGGGTATTAAGATGTGAAAGCGATTAGAAGCGCTTGGCATCAAGAGGTGATGGCAAATTTGAGGGGATAGCCATGGGTAGACAACAGATAATCAGGTTAAAATTGGAGTATTAACCTATTTTTCTAAATTTTATTTCAGAAGCATAGTTTTCTTCCAACTTGAGCTAAAAGCCATATGAAGTGAATCTGACGTCCATAGGTAATTAATCATTTATCCCTACATCTCTGCTTTTGAAACAATTTCATTGTATTTCAATTAATAAATTTCAGAAATATATTGTTTCTTTTATGTACATTGTTTTTGTGTTACAATGTTCTCGTACTTCAATATTTGTGCATTTACACTGCAGCTACCAATTTTAACCAATCTACAGCCTGCTTCCATTGCTCGACTGCACCCAAAAGTCCTCTACATGCTTGAAATGTAAAGGATAGCAGGGTAAGAAGTCTGAATATTTGAATGATATACATGTAGTCAAGTCCTTCAGAAGCCTAACAGACTGCCTTTTTGGATTAAAATTTGACACTTTGTTGAATTTTATGCCGTAAAAGCCCAAAGTTCAAGACTTTGCCTTAAGTGTGGTCTCCCACTGTGCCTTCCAGTTATAATGAACTTTGTTTTATTGATAAATGGAAATTGTTCGCCATAAAGCTGAAGTTCGCAGTGTGAGAATCTGAATTATTTTCTATTAAGAATGACACTATTAATCAATGACCAAGTAAAATTTACAGAGAAAAATCAGACCTCCAAAAATGCACTTAGTGTGACTACTGTATTACTGTGGAGTACAAAAGTGCATATTTTCATCAGAAAATTAAGATTTTGAATATTTTCTCAGTAAATCATAGCCTCATGTAGTTATTCCCTACCTTCCATTAAAGGTAGTTCAAATTACTTTGTACAGAAAACTTGTAGAAATTAAATATACGTAATTAATTGCAAATAGCATACAACTAGAGGCAACAATTCAGAAGTCTAGATGACTAATTTTTAAAATCTGTTTCTATGTTTTATACAAACCACACCTACTAAATATTACCAATTTTTAGTCAACTGCTCTTCGTTCACTGTTCTTCATGTTGATCCTTTCTACTGTCCATACCCATACCTTTTCTAAAAGGTCATAAATATCAGCAGTAAACAATGGGAAATGTTTAACAAAACCAATCTGAAAAGTTTATTGACAGCAAACTACAGTTAGTGTAAGTTTTATGTTAAAATGGTACAACTGAAAGTGAATTGTTTTTACAGTGTGAATAATCTCAGAAGAATGCAATACAAATAAAACCTGAAGTACTGAACTATAGACAGCACTTGGAAAAAAATTTACACCTATATACATATAAACACCTACACAGTTGTCACGTATGCCTCTATAATGAGACAAGCCTCCAAAACTCATGGAATTTCTGATCACGGCAAGGATGCCACATATTTTTTCCCCTTAATGCTTACGATTATTGGGTGTCCTCGACCTGCAGTAGAAAGGAGAAAAAGAGCAAATTAATAACATGCAAGACTACACATTAAACACTAGCTGAATAATGTGAAATGCTGTATTTTCAAATAAGGAGATTAATCATATAGATGAAACAAAACGTTGAAGTGACCGATGTTGGCACCATTTTAACATAAGTTTACATAATAAAGGAAAATTGTATAAAATGTGTACTACCTTGATCGTGACTTAGACTTGTGTTTGCGGCTTGCCTTCTTACCAGACCTTTGAGATTTTTCCACTGATCTTGAGCGACTGCGTTTCGATTTCTTTGTCTTCTTCTCTCTGCTGCTAACTGGAGAACGTGAGCTGCTCCTTGCACTAGATTCGGTGTCTG